GCCTTGGCTCTTTAAATCAGACACAGTTTCCTTCTGTGGTAAATGAAAGGTTTTTTGTTTGTTTATTTTGTTATTTTGGAGGGAAGTGAGCAGGATCATTTATGGAGTGATTCTCTGATGGTAAATTATGTAAAAGGTTGGACATTTGTACACTAAGTGCCTGGCACATAGTTGGCATTTGATAAATATTTATTGAGTTGGATTGAGTTGGTGTTTGGTGAAAGTAGGCTTGTGGCAATGAAATTGAAGCAATGGTGTGTTGTTAAATGTTTAACAACCAGCTTTCCAGGAAAAAAGAAGTACACATGACACACTTTAAGTTTAATGTGCATTATTAACATTTTCTTTAAGTCTAGCAAATAACAAAACAATAAATTAAACCCTAATTTGGAGTGTGCCAATTTCCAAGACCTAAATGCTTGCCTTGAAAATTTAACTATTGGCTCTTGAGAGCCAGTGTGCCTACCTCTGAATAGAAAGAATCTCACAGGCCTTCGTAATACTAGGTAATCAGCTACAACCTGTTAGGCATCTGTCATCCATGGATTTGTCTAAATAGGATCAAGCCTGTATATTCTTAAGCTGAACCACTTCTGAAAAGCAGTGTGGTATAGTAGACTGTTATACCTGCTGTCAAAAAGACTTAGATTTTAATCCTTTCACCTGTCTGAGACTTAGTTCCCTCCTGTGTACAGGAGGTGTAAAACACCTACTCTTTTAAGCAGTGGGGTATAATGGATAGAGAGGGCTGGCCTTGGAGTCAGGAAGGCCCAAGTTCAAACATTGCCTCTGACACATACCAACTGGGTTGCCCTGGCCATATCATTTAACCCCTCAGTGCCCTAGGAAACTCTCTAAGACTATACATTAGAGTGAAGTTGCCTTTTTGTGTTAGTGGAAGGAATTTCCACACTTGAAGCTTCCCAGAGTGACGAGTATCAGAGATCCAGATCAAAAATAAAAAGGAAACAAAACTTGCTGTATATACCTCTGGGGGTTGCTGTGATGAAGTGATTTTTTTTTAAAGTTAAACAACTAGAAAGATGTGAACTATTATTATTTCATTTTATTACAGCACTAATTTGACCAGATTCTTCCTAATTCCCAATTTAGTTCAGCAAGCATGTATTAATCACCTACTATGTGCCAGGTCATGTGCTGTTTGATGGTTTCCATAAAATCATAAATTAAGAGCCTTTAATGGTCCTCTGATTCATCCCACTTGTTTTACAGAAAAGGAATAGGAGACCAGAGAAATTGAATGACTTTCCCAGTGTCACATATGTACTAAGTGGTGGAGCCAGGGTGTGAACCCAGTCCTTTGACCCCAAATCCAGTGCTCTTCATTGCCTCAGCACAGTTGAAAAGTGTCACATTCTATGCCCTAAGGAATTTGTAGTATAGTAGGGGTGTGAGACAAGCACACAAATAACTGTAAACCTTGTGTCAGACTCCTGCCACAAAAGGATTCTCAGTGGCTCTGGCAGATTCTCCCTCTTCTCTTGGTTCCTAACCTCCACTGAGGAAATGTGGGGAACAAAATGCATGGCACCCATCACTACATAGGATCAACTTCCCATTTCCAATGCACAGCTCTCGATTGAGACTCTCAAAGGAGTCTCAATGAGTAACCATCAGTCTCAAAGACATATGTAAAGGCCAGTCACCAATACCCCTGGGTATTTGGGCTCCTCTAGTAAAGGCCCTCCTCCAAGTCCTTCTTGGCTCACTGTTCACCACCGATGGAAGAGGCCAACAGACTGCTGCTCCTCACACTTCCAATACCTTGCCGTCATTCATAGGGCTCTTAGCTCTGTACATTGGATTCCTGGTCCACCAGTCTCTCAGGTCAACTGGGAATGGGTCCCTAATGTTCTTGAGTATTTCTATGCCATCTCCCCTGTGTGAGATAAGTCATTAAAATCTTCAGGGTCATTCTCTTGGCCCTTGTATCCCTTGATACTGTCCTGGTTTTTCTTTTCCTGTTGTCCTCAGTTGCCATGCACCACTTCCTAGCAGTCTTCATTTTTCTCTGCAGGCACTCAAATGAGAGAATTAGGGTAAAGGAGACAAAATCTCAGTAGCTGATCTCTAGCTATAATACAACTTGTAAAATGACTAAGTGCTCAGATCAGGTTAACAGAGGGAACAAACATTTATTAAGTGCCTACTAGCTAGGCACAATGCTAAACACTTTCCAAAATTATCTCATTTGATCCTCACAAAAGTTCTGCTAGGTCCCCAGTTAAGGAAACTGAGAAAGACAACGGTTAATTGACTTGCCCAGGGTCACACAGCTAATAAGGGTCTGAGTCCAGTTTGATCTAAGGTGTTCTTGACTCCAGGCCCAATGTTTTAGTGCTCTGCCCTGAGGGATGAGAGATCCTGGGAAGGCTTCATGGATCAGGTACCTCTTGAACAAAAGGAAGGAAATGGATGCAGAATCTATTCTAGGCATGAGGTAACTTGTGTGAATGTAGGGAGGTATGATATCAAAGAAAGCAAAAGCTCCAGTTTGGCTGGACTCTACATGGTATAGTATACAAAAGGGAGTAAAAGCTATTTGTGAACACAGACCATGTACTCACTTGCCTCTCTCCTACAGGATCGGCGCTTATCACAGTTCCTGGTATAGCTAGTGATTAATAAATACTTGTTAACTGACTAATGTAAAATAAGGCAGAGAAGACTGGTTTTACCTACACTCCTGAAGTAAGATCACTAAAGAGCAGAACCTAGAAAAATAAGAGAAGGGAACCCAGTGGGAAACCCACACTTAGGAAGGTGCTGAAGGAAGAGGAAGCAATAGCACCAGATGCCCCCTTATTGGGAATGTTGTTGAGAATGGTCTGGACCATGTGTGGGTTGGACTAGAGGGCTTCAGAGCTCTCTTCCAACTCTGAGATTGAGTAAAATTGGAAGAAAACATTAGAGGAGAACCAAGAAGGCAAGGCAAGAAGCATTTATCATGTGCCAGACACCAGGGATCTAAGTAGAAGCCAAAAGACAGTCACTGTCCTCAGGGAGCTTACCTTCTAATGAGGGAAGGTAACACAAAAGGAAGATGAAAAGCTGGAGGTAGGTGGGAGGGTGATGAGGAAAAATTGGAAAAGGTACCCACATTGTGGGGGCATGGCATCAAAGGCCAGAGAGTTAGAAGCATAGCCTGAAGGGCAATGAAGGTTGGTTAGCCTGGGTCCCTCTCCAAATGGAGGCCTTGGGTGGGGCTCACCAATGGGAGAAGAGGGAAGGCGTGGCAGAGGGATGTTCCAGGGTGTTAAGACTGAAGGTAAAGGTGGATGTTGCAGGGGGAGGAGGCCTCAGGCACTGAGATGTGGTGTTGAACTCTGGATAGTCAGAAGTAGAGCCAGGAGGAGAATGACGGTTGCTTGGCCTGCTCCTTCCTCCTCCCAAATGAGGATCTTGGAAGGAACTCCACCAGTGGGAAAAGAACAGTCATAGAAGTCAAGGAAAGAGAATATTAAGGAGGGGGGGGATCAGAATCATGCATAGAGCCTGGGACAGGTGTGCTGGCACAGTGTGGTGGGGCAGGGGGTGCATTTTCAGTGACCCTTACTCTAAAGGAAAAGGGAAAGGCTAATGGAAATGCTCCCCCCAAGGTATCCTATCACACCCCACCAAGCACTATGCAGGGCTGTAATGGTTTTCAGTGTCCAGAATGATTGAGAGAATTCTGATTCCAATGGCCAGTAATCAGATTAGTTACTTAGGGAGGCATCTTAACTCTTTTAGGCCCTAGAAATATGGCCTGGAATTGCTGTGGGGTGTCCTGAAAGAGTTAATGCTCCTGGCCTCTCCCTGTCTGCCTTTCTTTCAGAAAAAAGCAGTCATTTGAGAGCTGATCTCCTAATGTAATGAGCTGTATACAAGCAGGAACATAAAATCCAGACAGAATGCAGGCGAGTGAGGCTGGCCACTCATGTTAGGAAGTTCTTCTCCCAGACCGAAGCTAGAGGTTAACTGTAATGAATTGACTCCAATCACTCAAAGCCTTTTAATTAAACAATTGTGTTTCCTTTAGAGAGGCAGTCTGATGTTGAAGATAGCATGCTGGACCTGGCATTGGGAAAACCTGGGTTCAGATCCTGCCTCTGAATGCTAGACCTGCAGTTGGGAAGACCTCTATTCAGATTCTGCATTTGATACTTACTAGCCATTTAACAATGGAGAAGTCCTTCATCTTCTGGGAACCTTGGTTTCTCCCTCAGTACAATGGGGATAAATATGCCCATAGCAGCTGTCTCACAAGGTCATGTTGAGGTTCACATGAGATCGTGTGTATAAGGCTACATAAGACGTCGAGCAGAGTCAAGAGGGGAGCAGGGCACTGTCTTCCTGGACTTTGGGAAAGGAGAACAGAGCTCTCTGGATTTCAGAGATGATGTTTTCGGGGAAGCTTTCATGACTGTACCCTTCTCAAGTGAAAAACCTGGATTCAGGGACTTACACAAGAATTCAGAGGGGAGCACATACATCATAGGAGAGAGAGATCACAACTGCAATTTCTTTAGTGTGTCAGGTTATACTTCTTCCCCTCCTGAAACTTCATATCTCAAAGGCCCCTAGTTGTCAGTGATTTCAGCAGACCCCTCACCAATAGAATAATGGTGGGGGCTCCACTTGTAGTTTAGAACCAGTACATAGCTATGTCTAATCCGAAAAAGGAATGATTAATTCATTAAATTAATTAATAATTAATAAAAATTAGCTAAGATTTTAGTCTCTAGACGAGGGATGCTAAGCCTTTTTTAAATCCCTTTGGCAATCTAATAAAGCTTGGGATCCCTTTCTTAGAATAATGGTTTTAAATGCATAAAATGAAATATGTAGGAGTACATTTATATTACAATACAGTTATTAATCCAGTTATCTATATAGTTATACTTCAAAAAATTTCATGGACCCCAGGTTAAGAATGCCTACTTTAGAATCTCTTAAGCCCTGTCTATATCATATGTTATTTGTTTTGAATTTGAAAGGTTCCACTCTGACCAACGGAGGTCTACACTTGCATAGCCCTGTAAAGAGGAAAATTGAAGGGGACAAAGATTACGTCTTTGATAAGAGGCTCAGGTACAGCGTCCGTCAAAATGAGAGCAATTGTCGGTTTCGAGACATTGTGGTGCGGAAGGAAGAAGGGTTCACGCACATTCTGCTGTCCAGCCAGACTTCTGACAACAATGCCCTGACACCAGAGGTAAGAGGGAAGGCCTCCAGGGGTGATGAGCTAGGTTCAGTATCCACTGACACTTTGATCAAGACATTCAGCATAATTACCTTTTTCTTAGCTACACTAAGAGGTGTCTATAAGGGGAAAGATAATTGACTAGTGGAAAAAAGCAAACCCATCAAAAGATTGTGTTTTGTTCTGTTTTCCTACAGAATCAGGGCTCAAATGGGACCTTAGAGGTCATTTAGACCAACCCTTGACTGGTTAGGAAACCCCTCCATAACATTTCCAACAAGTGGTCATCCAGTCTACATGTGAAGACCTTCAGTGATGGGGAATTCACTATCTCCTTTCTACTAAGAAATTCGTTCCCTCCCCCTCCCCCAAACCCTTACATAAAACCTAAATCTGCCTCTCAAGTCAAATCTAGAAGCCTTTATTAAGCATCTGCTATGTGCCAGGCACTATGCTAAGACAAATGAAGTCCCTCTTCTCCAGGAGCTCACAGCCTTTCAGACTTTCCACCCATTATTCCTGGATTCCTCCCCTGGAGCCAAACAAAGCAAATTCATTCCGTCTCCCCCATGACAGCCCTTAAAATACTTGAAAATGGCAATCACATCTCCCTAAACTCTTCTGTCTTAAAGCTAAATATCCCCAGTTTCTTTAGTTTGTTCTTACTTGAAAGTGGTCTCCTGCTTTCACCACCTCAGCCCCCATTCACTGGCCATTAATCACAGAGACTCAGAATTGGAAAGGTCCGTAGAGGACATTTAGTACAGCCCTTACTGGAGCAGACTGCCCTTCTAGTCATTCAGGGAATCAGTAAGCATTTATTAAATGCTTGCTATGTTTCGGACGCGGTGATCGAGTGTCAAGATTACAAAGGCAAAGGACACACCCAGTTCTCAGGGAGTTCCATCTAATGAGGGAGGCAACATGCAAACGTATATATACAGGTTGAATTGGAATAAACAACCAAGAGACATCCAGACTTTGAAGACCTCTAGAAATGGCAAACTCACTGCCTTCTGAGGTGGTCCATTCTACTTGTGGATAACTCTAATTGTTGAAAGTTTTCCTTACAGCAAACCAAGACTTACCTCCCAACACCTTTCATTTATTGATGTTAGTTCATCCCTCTATGGCCAAACAGATTAGGTCTAAACCTTTCTTCCCCATGACATCCATTCTGTTCCTTGAAGACAAATTTCTACACCTGAAGTCTAAACATACCCAGTCCCTTCAACTGATTCTTGCATGGCATCACCTTGTGGTCTTTTCACTGTTCTGATTACGCTTCTATAGATTGTCTCCAGTTTTTCTCCGGCTGAAAGTCTTCTGAAAATGTGGCTGAACTGAATACAATACTACTTAACTCATTCTGAACACAATGCCTCTCCAAATGAAATCTGAGACTACTCTGACTTCTTCATTATCTGTTGGCTCTCATTGAGCTAGAAGTGACCAACTTTTGTCTAGCCATCTCCTTCTCCCCCACCATCTTGTGCATGTATATTTTGTACTTGTTTAGGACTTTATATTTATTCTAATTAATGTGATTGATAATCTTAGTAGATTGGCCTGTCATTCTAGATTGTTAGAATCTTTTTGAATCCTGACGCTGTCATCCAGTGTCCTTAGGTATCTCTCAAGTTTCCTGCTATCTGAAAATTTGACAAACCTGCCTTCGTCTAAATCATTACTAAAAATGCTGAACAGAATGGGGCTAAGGAGAGACCCTCAGGGAAATCTACTAGAGACCTCTCTCCCTCCAAGTTGACATTGACAAGTTTCTATGTTTTCTTAGTTCCCGATCCCAATTTTTTTCCTTCGAGGTCTCTTCCCTTCTGTGTTCAAGAGAGAAATCTATGTTCCTATAGCCCTTCTTCTAAATATTCCCTCTCTAAAGGGGGCAGGATGGGAAGGGAGAGTATCCCAGAATCTGCTGACTTGGCTGTTACTGAAAAATACCACAGGGATTTGTCTGGAGATGATTTCACTCAGGCCTACCCTAGATTATACCTCTTTACAGAGCTGAGATTCACTCTTCCCTATGGGCAAGTCAAGACTTCTTGAGTATTTTTAAATACCCCATCCTTGAAGCATACATTAATAGAGAAGAAGCTTCGAGTATCAGAAAGAGACTAGAAATGTCATCAGAAGACCTAGATTTGAATTAGTTATCAGACTTGGGCCAAGTCACCTTCGTTCTTTGGTCTTCAGTTCTCTCCTCTGTAAAAAAAAGGCCAGGCTAGATCGGATGCTTTCTAGACTTCCTTCCAGTTTCAACACTCATTTCTGATTCTACTCGACCTAGATCAGCCCCTCTTTATAAGGATCTTCCCACTAGATCTGAGACTTGTTTTGTTTAACTCTTCTTTAATTTCCTTAGGAGTGATACTAGTCTATAATACTGCCAATATGAAGCTCTCTTTGACCTTGTTTGTGACCCTTCCCAGTCTTGCCTGTAACCATCCTTCCAGCCTGAATCAGTTTTGTTTTTTGCTTTCTAGAAAAGATTAAAAAAAGAGAGAACTCCTCTATCTCTTGGCCCAACTCGGATGGGTGGCCTTGATGGGTGGCTAGTTCTATAGAACTGTTCTTTTTGTTAGGTTGGAAAGGTTAAGAGGTGGGGGAAGGAGTCACCTAGACCCTCCCTTGTTTCTCTGACCATCCCAATGCCTAATTAAGACCTCCAAGGTCAAGGGACGTTCTCCCTTTGGGTCAGCCAATATAGTGCCTCACCTCCAATAAGTGGAATATGGAACTCAATATTGGAGTCCTCAGCACGTGGCAGGGCTTCTCCAGCTTGTTCTTCAATCTATAATATAGATCTACAGATCTATTTATTTAGTCCAATTCCTGAAAACTATCACTCCCACCCCAAGGTGCATCCCTGTGCCCTCACCCCTGCTCCAAAGCACATTCCAGTCTCTCTTGGCTTCACATTTAGGTTCATTAATTAAAGACACTGAGCTATGTTAAGGTTGTGTCTGTTGTAGCTAGGTGTCTGGTTACCTTTGTGGAGTGGGTCTGACAAATTTTTAGCCTTCCAGCCAAAGTAAGATTTCTGGGAAGAAGGCACGATTTTGAACACATAGGAACTGTGTTTCTCTCTCAGCTCAGTCCTGCTTCCAGTGCTCCCCATTTACCTAAAGTTCTTGGTACCCAGTTAGCCTGATAGCCTTAAGGTGATGGTAGAAATTTGTTGGGACTCCAGTTCATCCAGAGCCACCCATGGGTGAACAAAGTCAAATAAATGGACATTTAAATGACCAATCAGGATCCATCTCATTTCAGGATTTCAATAATTCATTTCAGTTCAGCTCACTTTGATAGGGGATAGCCTTAGTAGAATGGAAACAACAATGTTTTGGGGGATCAGATAACCTGAGGTAGGAGTCCTGGTTCTGCTATTTACTACTAGGTAGAATGGTACATTGAATAAACCACTAGACTTGGAATCAGAAAGACCTGAGTTCAAATGCTGACTCAGAAACTTACTATCTGGGTGACCCTGAGCAAGTCACTTAATCTCTGTTTACCTCTGTTTCCTCATCTACAAAATGAGGGATAATCACAGCACTTACTTCAGAAGGTAATGGAGAGGACCAAATGAGATAAAACATCTAAAGCACTTTGCAAAGCTTCAAGCACTATACATGTACTATCATTATTGCTATTACAGTTGTTATATCAGCTAGGGCAAGTCTCTTAGGAAACTGAACCTCCCCTCACAGTGTTAAAGAGTGGTCCCAGCAAAGAAATATGTGGAGCCTGAAGGGGAAAATGTTTTCCTGGTAGGGGCAATCAAGGAAGGCTTCTTGAAAGAGATAGCATTTGAGGTAGTCTTTAAAGGCTCAGGAGTTTAATGGGCAAAAAAAGAGGAAAGAAGGCATTTAAGATGGACAAAATAGCATCAGCAAAGTGATGGAGGTGGAGCTCACAGTGTGCGTTAAAGAGCAGAAATTTATTCAGTTTGTCTAGAGAGAAGGGGGAAGGGTATAAACATTTATACAGCATTTACTATGTGCCCAGCACTATGCGAAGTACTTTGCAAACATCTCATTTGGTCCTCACAACAACCCTATCAGGTAGGTAGTGTTACTATCCCTATTTCTTACAGTTGAGGAAACTGAGACAAGCAGAAGTTAATTGACTTGCCCAGGGTCACACACTTAGTAAGTGTCTGAGATGGGATTTGAACTCAGGTCTTCCTGACTCCAAGCCCGGTGCTCCATCCACTCTGCCACCTAGCTGCCAGAGTAGAGGATATTTGAAGGGTAATACTAGCACCAAGAAGGGAGGCATCTGATGCCAGATTGTGGAATGACGTGAATGCCACGTAAAGGAAGTTTGAACTCTATTTGGGAGGCAGTTGGGAGTCATGGAAAATGTTTGAACTGAGAAGTGAAGCCAGCATGTATAGTCTTCACTGTAAAGAGTGCCAAGTGTGAGCTTTCTCACTTCTAAGGTACAATGTTTGTTTACTTTCACCTTCCCCAGGAAACAAGAGTGTGAACCCATTGGAAGCTAAGTGTTCTATGGGATCATTCAGTCATTTCCAATTCAACAGAAATTTATTAAAAACACACTATGTACAGAACCCTGCTCAGCACTGGGGACACAAAGGGACCATTTTCTTTTCATAAAACGTAGTATCCCAAAAGTCTTAGTGTGGTTTTAAGCTTTAATGATTTTCGTAAGTGTTAATAGCTTAAAATCGCATTCAGACTTTTCAGACACCCTGCATAGGTGATGACATTCCTGTAGCTGTGTTTGCTGTAACTGTCCATAGAGCATGGGTCAGAAAATAACGGACAATGAGATATTATCAAAGAGGCAGAACTTTCACACCCATGCAGTTTCATCTTCCTTCCTGTCTAAGATTCCCTCCAAGTTCAAACTGAAATTGTGTGAGTAAGGATAGCTCGAGGGAGTCATCAGTTACTGGAGTTGGTCCAGCTGGCTTCAGGCTGTGTTTTCTTTAGCTATAGACCCTGGCCCTGCACCCGGGGCCCCTTAGTAGGGTATTGGCTTCACATACCCCAGATTTGTGAAGCTGGCCAGCCTCCTGTTCCCACCATCCAGCAAACAATTTTGAAGCAGACTGTGGAGCAGATGGCGGAGCGTTGGGGAGGAAGAATCTTCTTTTCCTCTATATTCATTAGGGGGCTCGTTCCTGACTCTCTTTCAGAGGCATAATAACCACATGGAAATGTTAAAAAAAAATCACGCCACGTTGTTTCCCCCATGTTTTCATTGGTTTGAATCACTGGCCAGTTATAGCATGACTGAATGATAACAGAACAGTACTTCACATTTATACAGTAACTTTATGATTTGCAGCCAGCTCAGAATTCCATGGAAGTCAGTTAAAAAAAATTTGGTGATGAATGAGTCTGGTTTTCTTGTTCAAGTTCACAAAGGTACAAAAATCAAGCCTTTCTTGGCCCAAGGGAAAAAATCTTCCCTTGTGTTATCCTCAGGCAGGTATTTTCAGTCAGTGAGGTCAGTGAGTTAGTTGTCTTATATGTGGCTTGGTTTCTTCAGCATTCAAACTTCTTGCTATGCTGATTAAAAAAACAACCACCCCCAAACCAAAAACCAAGCAAGTCTTTATCACTAGCTTTTGTCAGGAAGAGAGGGTGGATGTGGACTTCCTACCCCAACGTCCTCCTGTCTCCTAATGCTGGTAAAGTCTAGAGGCAAATAAGAAAGCCCAGAGACTCCTGTGAGCCTCATGTGGAAGGTGTGAGCAAAGCCCTCACATAATCTGACTTCAGGAGGGATGCCCATAAATAGTCCGAAAAGTCAGCTGTCCCATTCCACAAGGGGAGACTTCAGTTAAGTGAAGATTTCACATTTGATTTAAGGAGAATTGGGATAATATTTATTCATAATCCTATGCAGCCCCTGAGGAGAGAGGAGTTCATAGATTTGTCATCCTTGTCTAGAGAAAATCACTGGCACGTGCTTGAAATTCCAATTTTCCTTGGCAGAATGGCTGAATAATGCCAGGCTTCTGATGCTCTTCCCTCTTATCCCTGTCTCTACTCTAGCTTTGGAAGTCTGAAAAGGAGGCTGCAGGGCGAGTGGTCCTCATCTTCATCTCATTAGAAGTTGTAATCCAGGAGAGAACTTTTTAATTGGATGTTTTCTCCCTTTTGCCCACAATGAGTTGTTATGAGTAGGGACCATCTCCAGTCCAACCCCTGCCAATAAGTCGTTCCCCCATATCAGATCAAGTGAGTACTCATCCAACCCCTGTGTGATGGAGGGATGGAGAACTTGCTATTTCTAGAGATAATCAACACTACTTTAACAACTCTAATTGTTATGACTTTGATGTCTTGTAGCACAGAGCCCTGTACATAGCGGGTGATTGATTCATATTTGGGTGGATTTTGAATACTAGCTCCAATAATTCAAACCAATGAGAAACCATTTTTATGTATGGCAAATATTTCTGTCCCTGTCATTGCCCCTAGTCCTATCTGTGAAATGAACCTATTTGTGACCAGTTTGACATTTTTAATGATTTCATTAATTGTAGTCCCCTGAATGATAAATTCCACTGAACCTGCCCAGGGCTGGAGTCTAAGGTTTAATTCTTAATTTTCAAAATATAAGTAAAAAGCTGCTTTCTCAGGGGTCTGTGGCATAACCTTGGAGTCCTAGATGCAAAGAGCAATCCTTATCCATGCCACAAGTCAAGCTTTGTATCTCTAGAGGGTTTATACTGAGGAAGAGACCTCTGATATATGGATAACTTCCATTGAGATAATACAGCTCAGAAAGTAGAAGAGATGGGGAAGGTTTAGAATACAGGGCAACTTGACCCAAAGTATGGCCATTCTGCCATGTATACCTTTCCTGTCACCAGTTAGTTACCCCTAGATGCTGGACTCGTAGCCTGTGACCTACTGAAACTGCACAGTGATTCTTCCTTCTAGCATTTTAAAGCCCTTCAGAAGTATGGCCCTGGTCCATACTTCTAGACTGATTGATTACACATTATTCCCCCTCATCCCATCTCCCATCTCCATGCCTTTGCACAGGCTGCCCTCCATGCCTGGAATGCTCTCCCTTCTTATCTGTGCTTCTTGGAACTCCTAGAACCCTTCAAGACTTAAGTGCCACCTTCTTCAAGAGACTTTTCCCACATCCCCCAGTTGTGAGTGTTTTCATCCACCAAAAATAACTGTTTATTTAATTTGCACATACTTTGTATCTAATTGTCTATGTAGGTGTTGGTTCCATGAGTAGAATGTAAGCTCCCGGAGGGCAGGAACGTGTTAGTTTTAGTTTTTATACCCCCAGCCCCAAAGCACAGTACCTGGCACAGAGGAGATGACTAATACATGCTTGTTGAATTCAATTGAATTAAATTAAGTTGAAACAAATGCAGTTATCACCACAGAGAAATACACAAAGTCATAATCACACAGCACCAGAAGGCCTTGACATCCAGGCTGGAGAATCAGTCATTATCCACCAGGCCTAATTCCTCCCTTTGTGAGATGGGTTGCAGCTGTGCTAAGCATGTCCCATTGTTTACTCTTCTCTGTACACAGATTATGAAGGAAGTGCGGAGAGCGTTGTGCAACGCGTCCACGGACGACAGCAAACTCTTGCTTCTCAGCGCGGTTGGAAGTGTGTTCTGTAGCGGCTTAGATTATTCCTACTTACTTGGCAGGTTGTCCAGCGACAGAAGAAAGGAGAGTACCAGGATTGCAGAAGCTATAAGGTGACCCACACTGACCCTGAGCTCTGTCTGCTCTGGGCCTGAGGACAGCCTCTGATTGACCAGGGTTCAGGGGGCACCTGAACAATACATTCGGGTGATAGTTTAAGGGGATACAAAGCAGTACGTTGGGGCTTGGTGACTGTTTTCCTTTTTTTTTTCCCACGTACAAATCTCAGTCCATTCTCAGACTGAAGTGCTCATTTGTATATCTATTCCTGTCCCTCTGCTCAACCACTTAAAATTCTTCTTTTTAGATGAAAATAAAAAGCCTGTGCTTTTATTTATTTATTTATTTTCCAAATTGACGGTGGCATTAATTCCCTGGGGGACAGACCTTGACCTTGTCGAACTCCTGTTAGGGGTTTTGTTAATCAGAGATGCCCAAAAGATTTGGTAGCTGTGATTCATAGCTGCTGGTCTGCTTGGCCCTGGGAGGGGCGGGGACCTAGAAGAACCTGTTCTGCCACTTATAGAACAGTCTTCTCTGCCTCCAGTGAGACAAGAATGACAGAGTTTCTGAGTAGGGGCCAGTTGCTGTACGAACTGATAAAAGGAGCTACGTTTTGACCTCAATGGGAGCTAAGAATTAGATCTAAGGCCAAGGTGGTCACCTGCAGGTTATGACCTTTTATTATACAGTTCATTACTATCTGGACCACATTGTGATCCCTGAACTATTATGCATAGTGAAATCCCGATGTAATGTGCTAAATAAGACTGTTTGGCCAAGATCAGCCTTGTACACAATGGATAGTCTTTGTCAAAGGGTTCTTTTGTATTTGTTCTCCTGATCAGGACCAGGGCTGGTGGGACAGTCCCAATAGCAGCAGCCCTCAGAATATCAGCAGGTAGACCACTTCTCCACAGTCAGGCAAGGAAGAGCACCAAGGTTCTGTGTAAGACTTGGTCCTAATTAGAGCCAGGAGAGGCAGGGGAATTCTGCTGATGATTGTGGGATTCCCCCAGCGTGTCCTGCTTTTGGGGGCTTTGTCTCCATGTCTTTATCGGTTTGGTGCCTCTGACAAAATCCATTCTTTCTTTTAGAGAAGTGATCCTGAAACTTTCTCACATGACATATTCTCACTATACCCCATTTCAACCTTCTTTTGGAAGGAGTTTGCATATTGTTGAGAGAGGAGAAAATAGAAACTTTTTTTTTCTTTTCTTCAACCCGGAGAAAACAGGTGACAATGGGGAGGAAGGAATGAGTTGTAAACTCTTAAATTTGGAAAATATCTTAGTGATCCTGTAGAACAAGCTCCTGCCTGAAACTTGGACACTTTGTCACCCAGTCCCCAGAGTCCATTTCTGCGTATTTTTTGAAGGTTATTCCTTAATATGAGCCCAAAGCAGTCTTTCTACAATTTCTTTCTTTTTTTTAAAATAAATTTATTTATTTTTAGTTTTCAACATACAATTTCTATCCATCATTCATAGTTCATTCCACTGGTGTCAGACAAAATAAGTCAATTCTCTCTCGTACCCAAGAACCCATCAGATTCTTTGTATTTGCTTTTTTAGCCCCTAAGACAATTAAAAATTTTTGCTAATTGATTGGTGACTATCATGTGCTCCTAATTTTTTTTTCTTTCTCAGACTAAACTTCCTTAGTTCCTTTAATCAGTCTTTATATGACATAGTCTCTAGTCACTCTAGGTTATCAACAACCCTCTTAAAATTTGGTGCATTAAGTAATAACAGATTTCTAAGTAAAGGTCACCTTGCTTTGAATCCTACTCTGTTACTTGCTTCCTGTAACCTTTGGTATATTATTTAGCCCTGTGGGCCTGAAGTCCAGGTGTCAGGCGATGAAGGCTTGAACCAGGGTGACGGCTATACGTGAGGAGAAGTCGATGTATTCAGGAGATGATAAGATAAAAACAATAAGACTTGGCGACAGATTGAATGTGTAGGGTAAGGTCGAAAGAACAGCTTAGAATGAAACTCAGGTTGTAAGCCTTGGTGACTGGGAGGAAAGTTAGAAAGAGGAGGTTTTTAGGAAGTAATGAGTTCTGTTCTGGACATGCTCAGTTTGAGATATCTGCAAGATGTCCAATTTAAGATGTCCAATAGACAGTTGGTTGATCCTGGCGGTCAGAAGAAAAGTTAGGGCTAGATAATGAATTCTGAGAAGCAGCTACATAGATATGATGATTGAATCCTTGGAAAGTGATGAGATTCTCACCTTGATTAGATCATATGAAAGGAGAAGAGAGGTCCCAGGAAAGATGCTTGGGGTAGGGTGTGGCTTGGACTCCAGCAAAGGAAACTGAGATTGATCCAGCTTCAATACTCAGCACCTTTTTAGCTTCCTCAGCTGTCTCTCCGCTCTGATTGGAGGGCTAGAGGGCAGAGCAATAACTCCTTCCAAAGCCTTCTTCTTTTATGGAGGGCTCAGAGCTTCCCATCTAAACTCTTTATTTTTCATACACTACTTTGCTTGGCAAACATCATCTGGTACCCTCTGGTGGCCGCTCCAGCCCCCTTTCAGCTTCCTTTTGGGTACTGTGTTTCCTATTAGACTGCAAGCTCCTTGAAGGTAGGGATTGCCTTTCTTTTTTCTTATTTTTATCACCAGTGCTTCACAGCATCTGTCACATTGTAGGCGCTCAATAAATGTTTATTGACCATGACTATAACTATGAGAAGGAGCAGTCAGGCATGTGGGAGGGGAACTGGGAGAAAGAAGTGTCATGAAAACCTAGAGAGTAAAAAGTATCCTGAAGAGAGTGATCAAAAATGCCAAAGTCTGCAGAGGAGTCAAGAAGGAGGGGCATTGAGGAAAAGCCATGACTTTTGGCAATGAAGAGATCATTGGTGCCTTTAGAGAGAGCAATTTCAGGTGAATGATGAGGTCAGAAGTTAGACTGCAAAGGGTTTAGAAGACAGTAGAAGGAAAGGAAATGGAGGTGCTAGTTGATGGCTTTCTTGAGGAGTGTAGCCATGAAAGGGAAGAGAGATACAGGATGATAGCTAGTGTGGATCAAAAGATGGAGGAGACATATCAAAGTGTATGTATAGATAGTAACTTTTATTGCGTAACACTGCATAAATTCTTTTCCAGAATGGTTAGACCAATTCATGGCTCTTGCAATGGCATATTAGTACTTCTGTATTCCCAAATCTCCTCCATAATTGAGTATTTCTATCTTTTACCATCTTTGCCAATTTGAGTGCTATAAGGTGATATTCCAATGTTGTTTCAATTTTAATTTCTCTTATTATAAGTGTTTTGAGCATTTTGTCACATAATTATTAATAGATTGTATTTCTTTCCAAATTACTTGTCTTAATGATGTTAAGTGTAGGTAAGTACTCATGACCAGCATACTGATGAAATTTCAGCCACAGCAACCTGTGAAACAAAAAATACAAAATGACTCTCAATCGTGTGCCGCCTTCTGATTCTCCTAGTGATGGTGCCAGGATGACATAAAATGTGGCAGAGAGTGCTAAGAATCACATAGTTTTTATACTTCCCACAGACTTTAGCTTGACTATTATTACTCTAGATATGTCCAGTGGCCAACAAATGTGCAGATAACTGGAGGAACAGAATCACATCAATCTTTATTTTATCAGTGTAAGTGAAACCAAAAGAAAAAAGGAAGTTATAGCCAAAGAAAAGATGGTGTAAGGTTTTCCTTAAAGAATGCACAAAGGAAATGGCAGAATTGTTTTTATTGTTTTATCATGTGCCCAAAGACATCAAGAAAAGTCATGTCAGTGGACTTTTGGTCATCTTGTATTGAAGAGCTCAGGATAAGTATTAGCAAAATAGACGACCAGGGAATTAATTGCAGTGTGTGCACCAACAATCTGTTGCAAAGGATGGAGAGGTAGAGAAATTTAATGAGGAATTCAGTAAGAGCCCCCAAATTAAATAAGCATAGAAAATTAGATCAGATGATGGTAGAATTATCAACTTAGAGTTGGAAGAGACCTCAAGGGCTCTCTAGCACAATCCTTTCATTTCCAGATGGGTCAAATGAGACCCAGGAAAATTAAGTGACGTGCCCCTAATCACATGGATGGTAAGCATCAGAGTCAAGTAGGATTTGAACCCAGGTTCTTTTACTTCAGAGCCAATAATTTTCCCACTACACCTTGCTTCTATGCAAAGGTGGGAGTCAATGAGAATGGAAAAAATATATTGGAAAACATGGATAAAGAAAAAGGAATGAGACAAGTCAAAGGCTTAAAGATTGCACAAAGGTATCACTGCTACATATCACGAATACATTCTTCAAGAATCACTGTACCCTCCACAAGAGTCTTCTCTGATTTCTCTGAAACTGTCCATTTGTCATTTTTAATGGCACAATGGTATTTCATTACATTCATATACCATAATTATGTCAGCCATTCCCTAATTGATAGGCATACCATTGGTTTCCAGTTCTTTGCCACTGCAAAAAAGATCTCCTATAAATATTTTTTGTGTAAATGTATCCTTTTCCCCTTTCTTGGTATTTTTGACATATAGGCCTAGTAATGCTATTAATAGATAATAATATAGTTAGCATTTATATGATGCTTTCAGGTTTTTTTACCCTCACAACTCTGAGAGGTAGATGCTATTATCACCCCCATTTCACACAGATGAGGAAATTGAGGCAAGCAAAATTTAAGTGACTTGTCCAGGGTCACATGATATGTATCTGAGACAGGATTTGAACTGAGGTCTTCCAGACTCCATCCATGTGAAGCACCCCTTACCACTGTACCACCTAAATGCCTCATAAATCAAAGAATATGAACAATTTGCTAACTTTTCAGGAACAGATAACAAATAGAACAAGTATCACATGGAGGGCAAAGGGAAAGATTGTGGTGAGCGTGGGCAGACTGACTGCAATTTATCAAAAGTGAGGAACTTTGAAGAATGACTGGGGAAAAAAAGATGTGTTGATCAAGGGAAAAGAATGAGAGATACCAAGTGGACAGCCCTCATGCTACATTGACATCCTTGTGCTGTGAGGAGAAATCAAAAATCCACT